TTATTGATGACATATTTTAAATATTAAAATTTAATTAATAAATAGTTATAATAAATAAAAAAATAAAATATATAAAAAGCTAAAAAAATTCTAATTATATAAATACAGGCAAGATACCTTTCGTGTTTAATATTGAGAAATGAATTATAAATTTTAATTGTAGAAATGATATTTATTATATAATTTTTGTTTTCTTTTAAATGACAAATAAAAAATAACCCAAGCTAGGGTTCATGTCCTGGTTCTGGTATTCATAGCTAGCGCGCTGCGAGAAACAACACTGCCGCAACGCAACCGTTAGCAAACACACGAACACTGTGTGACCTTTCGTCGAACACTTGGAAGGCACAATGGGAGGGAGGAAGAAGAAGTTCATCGACAAGAAGAACTCTGCTACCTTCCAACTCATCGCTCGCGACTCCTCCGACCCTTCCTTCTCCCACTCCGATCGCGTCTTCGTCCGCGTCGACAACAACCCTGTCTCCATCCCCGTCGCTGCCGACTCCATTTACGAAGACGCCCCTGACGACGGCGACGACGACGACGACGAATACGGCGCCGGACTCGACGGCGGTCCGCTGCCGGAGGACGTCAGGCGCGAGATTCTCGAGCTAGGGTTTCCGGATGATGGCTACAACTACTTGAGTCACTTAAGGGAAATCAAGAACACTGGCGCTGGTTCTTCCTTCTTTCACAACCCCAAGTTCAAGCTTCAGCACCTCCCTCGAGATGTTAAGGTGCTCCCTCCTTTTATCTTTTAATCTGAATTTTGTTGTTTTTTAGATGGAACAGTTTTTTTTTTTGGAGTTTTTTTTTACTGATTCATAAGCGTGTTAATAATAGTAGAACAATGTTTTCAGAACCTAAGTGATTTTTGTTTCGTTGAGTTAGTTAGTGTTTGAACTGTGAGGAGGATGGATTGAAGGGATGATTAAATAGCTTGGTTATATGTTGAATTGGGAATTGATTAATTATGTTTTTTTGTTGATGGTGAGTTTAGGCGTATGATGCTTCGAGGTTGCAAATTTCTGAGGCTGGTGGAGAGCCTGAGGAGAATTCCTTGTACAGTGTTGCATCCAAGACTACCAGTGTAAGGATTCAGAAAGCGGTTGATCCTGAAGTGGCTGCATTGCTTGATGATAGCGATGTGTCACGGTTGGGCTCTGATGTCGAAGATTTGGAAGAAGACTTTGTTGTCAGGGCCAATCTAGATGAAGATGATGAAGAGAAGGATCGTGTATGCAATGGAATGAATTTCGCTATGGAATCTGTGATAAATGGAAACCAAAACAATGGGCAGGCACTGCAAGTTTCTGCCCATTCCAGAGTTACAGATGGCTTTGTACCTTTGGATGGGGCTACAGATGGTGTACCAGGAGTGGACTGTGTTGGTGAGAAGCCAAGAGTTCGTCGTTTGCTGGATGAACAATTTGATTTGGTGAGTTCAGCTGTTCATAATATTTTATTTGCTGTCTATTTTGGTTCATTGATGCTTTCTGTTTACTAATTATAATATTTAATCAAGTATGTTGAGCCTCTTTGTTTCTGGTACCTCAGGAGGATGCCTTTGCCAAATTTTGTCCTTTATTGTACTAGCAATTATAATGTCTTTATTGACTGCTGCTGAACTTTTTTGCCATTAAGATTCTCATTCTCTGTATATTTCTGTTATAGCTTGAACGCCAAGAATATGGATCTGATGATGACTATGATGATGATGGTGATGATTATTATGAAAATTATCAAGCTGATGAAGATGTGTCCCTTGCTGAGAAGCTTAAACGCTCTCTCAACAACAATGTGATGGATGATCTAGAACTTGATGATGATAAGTATAAGGTTCCTGCAGATTTATTGAAGAATAAAGATGCCCCGCATGAGGAACAAGAGGAGCCTGCTGCTGATGTAATTCGCCGTTGCAAGGAATATGCTGAGGAGTACGAAGTTGAAGATGAAGACAAGGATGTTGTATTTGTACAAGAAAGTAGTGATGAATCAGAAGCTTGGGATTGTGAGACTATTGTTTCGACGTACTCTAATTTAGATAACCACCCTGGAAAGATTGAAGCGCCTGGAGTATCTAGGAAAAAGAAATTGGCTGAAACTGTGTCTGCGGCCTTGAGTTCCTCTAGTCAAATAATATCCCTTAGAGGAAAACAGAATCTCCCCGTAGACTTCTTGCCTAGTGGTAGGAAACCGACCACTGAAAAGGCTAAAGGCCCGAGCATCGAAAGAACTGAACAGTTTAAGAGAAAACAACATGGCCTTGAGTCAAAGGAGGAGAAGAAAGAACGGAAGGTATCTGAATCATCAACTATGATGCTTCATTTATGCATGCAATTGTTTTCGACTTCTTTTTGAGACTTACCGGTTGTTTCCCCGAGAATAATAACAACGTTTATGTTTGGCTTTTATGTGGCCACTACTACTGCTACTGTACAACATTGACAGTAATGGCTATGTTGTATTGCAGGCTGCTGTCAAGGAGGAACGCCGTGAGGCGCGTCGCATGAAAAAAGAAATGAAAGAGCTTTATAAATGTGAAGCACATCGAGCACAGAGAGCTGCTGCTGTGTCTGGTCCTTCTTCCATTCATCTTATGTAAGTTTTCAAATAGTAAATTGACGTGGTATTTTACAAAAATTGGTAACTATGTGTTCCGTTTGCTGATTTATCTTTGTAGATAAGTTAATTCCAAGTACTGGCTTCTCACTCGCGTGTCTGCTATTCCACTTCTGTGAAGCTTGTGAGGTCTTTGATGTCTTCGTACATCATGACAGTTTTGCCACTTGAACATTGCACGGGAATTTTGCGAGTCTTTTTGCCCAAACAAAAACGTGCTCAGAGTTTTGTTATTCTTATACATAAAGGTTAAGCAAAAATAGTTATTTTGTTTTTGCTGAGGTGAGTGTTTTAGTGGCTTTTGTTTTGGCCTAAGTTATACAGGGGCTATGCAAATAGTTTTAATTATCTTTCTGTGTTTTGTTTTTTATATGGTCTAGTGAACAAAGGCTATGGCTATCAATTATATTTTATGCCTTTTGGCCAATATATTATGATGTATGTAACAACTAATTTAGCTATTTAGAATTATGAAGTGATTTTCCTTTCTAAAAAAATGAAAACTGACTTGTAAAGAAATATGACACGAACAATATAAAACTTGAGGATGATCATATCTATTAAGAATAAAAACTGACTTGTAAAGAAATAGAGTAGCATAGAGTTGTAATAATTGGATTTTGTCATCCTCACCTCCACAAAATCATATATCGGTGGGGGCTTATGGTGTCCATTGATTCCAATCTCGTCGTGGTCATTCTGGTCATTTATGAAGATCTCCCATCAAATTTGTGTGAAATAAGCGACTATGTTGCGAGCAAGACAACATTAAATATTGAGTCATACTTATTAAAATGAGTTTTTGGTCAGCGACAATTTTCAAAGCACTCGATAGATAGGGATCGAAAGTATTCTCTGTTGGATTCTTTATTATTCGCTTCCCAATATATTTTGCCTTTTGTGTTCATTGGATTTTGTTTTCTTTTCTATGTCATGTTCTGTTGTTCTCTTGTGTGTGCTTGCTTTTAAAATCCATTCATATTACGACAAATGTGAAGCCTTTTATTTCCATCTCCAATCCTCCTTTATAACAACAAATCAAGAGGTACAGCAGCTAATGTCTCACAAGCTAAATAAACATAATCTAACCAAATAGACATGGCTTCGAATGATCTACTTTTCCTCCGAGGCACCAATTAATACATAGAAAAACCCACACAATAAAAATCTCACCTACAAAGGACCACGCTGGGGATAGATTTAGTTAAATCACTTCAATTTACATTTTTACTTGTTTTATACTGCACCCTCCTATCATACCTACCACACGACCTATACTCTTATACCTATGGTGTTGTACAGTGCCAGAATGAATGATAAGGAGATACCCGGGGATGCTGGTGGCTGGAGATCGGTCTCCTTACATAGATATACACAACAGATCCCTGCAGTCTACATCACCATTTCTGTAGTTTTAGGATGTTCTATCTGATGGCGCAAGCTCGTTTTTATCAGAATTGAGATTGATATTGGACTGTGATTCCTCAGCTGATGCAACCTCATCCTGCTCATTCTCATTTTTCTTTGAATTCAAAAACCGACCTCCACATCCTCTTGCTCTCCTTAGTGCATGCAAATGTCGAGGTTCATGAAAGTATGGCTGAAACATTTGTTTAAAGGTCAAGTAAGGGAATCCATAGAGCCACACACAAAATATCAACATCAAGAAGTTAGCAGCTAACAGCACAACTTCTAGGAACCTTTATCCCTTCATTTTCCTTTTTTTAATAATTATCTTTTTTTAAATCAAATTTTGGCATCATTAAAAAGGAACGTAAGAACGGATAGGGATAGATATACCTTCCGGTTCCTTGCAGCTTTTTTTTCTGATTCAGCTTTAGCACGGGACTGTCTACGTCTTAATATACCGTGATACTGTTTTGCATTGACAAACACAGGCTCCTCAACTGTATCAGTTGGCAAAGGAACACCTGCTTGTTGAATTCCCATTAACTGAAGATGGACCTGACCCAGGATATATAATTCGATAATATGAGAATCATAACAAGAAGCCACAATATTGCAAACATCAAAAAAATTAGAATGTACCATTGGATTTCCACCATAGGGTTGTGGGGGATAAGTTTGTGCATCATAGGGAGTAAAGATACTTCTGTAGTACGAATCTGGATATGGGTAAGTGGGCGGTGCCTTCAAATAGAGACATAAGCAGCAAAAATCAGTAAAGTGAAAACAGAGTTTACCTTGTAAAATATGCTGGGAGACAGAAAAACCAGCAGCTATGTAGCAAGATAAAAAAAATAAAAAATATGTCCAGGAAGGGCAGGGGGCATGAAAGTGATTCAATTGCCTGACCAAGTCTGAGCAGCCACTTCTTACTTCTTTGATATCACATCAACATAGAAAATGGCACCAGCACTTGCTCAGGCAATCGTTCATTAACCTTCAATTGCCAGGATAAAAAAATTCTGGTTATTTCAAGAAAATAACCTCATCACCAAACGTAACCGCTAAAGAAACTTACTTAGACGGCAAAACTTCAGAGAAAAACAACACTATTTGCCAGATTACAAGTCTTCATTTAAGCCATCCCAGGCTCTACACCAAGAGCCCTAGCAGTTTCTAAAACTTTAAAGCCCAGCATCAAGTATTACTTTCATATAATAATTAAAAATAACTTCATTTTTGTTTATTAAGACTCGAGACACATGGAGAAATTCCTACCTAACAGTTCAGACAAGTGCTATAAGCTAAATCATTGAAAAATTAAACCAAGAACAAACTTGGGCTAACAAATTTTATCATGACAATATATTAGACTATTCAGAATCAAATTTCTTCAATGGTAAAACAAATATGTATATCTCTTGTAACGATAACAGGTAAGAAGTGTTTGACGGCATAAAATGGCTATGGCCCATACAAAACAAAACATTCCCAAGCATTTTGAAATAGTTAAATATTAAGATACCAGCTCCAATGAAAGCACCGAGGATGGCAAACCAATAGGCCTTATTTACTAAGACAATTAAAAGATAGCCTATTAAAATTTGAAGTTCATACCACAGCATGTCCAGTTCCAAGCTGTGGAGGTGTTGCATACGGAACAACCTGAGTACCAATACCTGCATGAGAAATTCCATTTGCAGATAAAGGCTGAATTTGTGGTTCTGACTGCTGCTGTGCATCAGCTTCATTATCTATAAAACAGTGAGTTAAATAATTTCAGGATTCAGACATAACGTTCGTACTTTCTTTTGGGGTTGGGGCGGTGAGTTGGACAAGTCAAATGCATCACTTTAAGAAAAACACAACTTTAGATAGCATGGAAGACAAGCTAATTTTTTTTAATAAGATAAATAACTAGAAGTCAACCTAATAAATAAAGGGCCATGAAACTTGGCAAGAGAAAATTTTCTACTCCACATGTACTACAACGGCACAACCAGAATGCAGAAGTATCTACTCCACTTGGAACACAAGCTCCAGATGTATGTTCAGTTTGTAAGTTTTAAAGGAAACAGAGGTTGTTGAATATATTTAGTTTGAAAGGAACTGAGAGAAAAAAGGTATATTCTTCGAATGGAACTTTTATGCTAAATCCGTCAAATAAAATGAGCTTTATATATTATTCTTTGTAATGTATTTATTTTATTTTCCTTGGGCATGGAGTGAGGCTTTATTTGGGGGGGCATGATATGAGTTGGCGGTTTTGGATCTTGAAGATTTATTATTAGTGCACACTATTCTGGTTAAAAGATAACTTCCCCTGCTACAGAACAGGGCTTTAGGATCTTGAAGATTTATTATTAATGCACACTACTCTGGTTAAAGATAACATCCTCTACAGAACAGAATTTCCACAAAAAAATGCATGGATAAGACGGAAGGGATGGAGTAATAAACTAAAAGCAAACTTAGAGCTTTCAACACGTGAAAAAACAAGATCAATTGGATAGAGGTTAGGGCTTGCAAACCTCCTTAATAGTTTTCCACAATTCTTCTGAAGAGCTCCTTAGGTGCTGCAAATGCAAAATAGAATCAAAGAAATGAGAGATTTCAAAATCAATTGGATTAATAAGGTATAGACCAGGGAACCAGGATCAAAAAATTACATGAAACTCGGTACATTAAATTTTTTTACATTCAGCTTACCTGGCAATCCAGTGAAATTCTCATACTGTCCATATGCTTGCCCCAAAAACATCTCAAATCCTGTTACAATAGTGGCTCCTGATTCTTCTGCTTCTTTCAAGAGTCTGGTCATCTTGGGCGTGTAGACAGCATCAAAAACCAGGGAGTAATATTTCAAAGCAGACTGCAAAAAACAAAAAAAAAAATGAATGAAATGGTTCTCTAGATTTCAACTTACTCATGTTCAATATCATGAGATTTTGTGCCTTCATACAAGAATGAGAATATTTTTGCCGGCCAAGTCTTTGGCATTTTGTTCAAGTTAAATTCAACTGCATAGAATAAAAAAATCCTGAGTGCATTGATATGTCAAACCAAAAGGTCAAAGTCACAGATAAGACTTTAGAAGCATTTTGGCAAATTAATCATATCAATTCCCTACTCTGTTAAGTAGGAATAATCAAACGGTAATATAAAAAATAATTTTAGTGAGATCAAGTCATGAAATAGGCCTTTTCATACACCAATAATCATAATTCATCTGAATAGAAATCCAACTTCATTAGCAAACTGCCAAACTGGAAGTAGATATTACATATTAAGTTCAAAACTTCCACCAACAATATTTCAAGGCCTGAAGGCCCTAATTGGTATGGCACATCCATATTAAAGGAGCAAACCTTAGAAATAGGTGTCTCATCAACTTTTGGTTGCATTCCAATTGATGTTGTGTTTGCAAGAATCATATCATCCTCCGGATGGTAATTACCTAAATCAGCAAGCGCTAAAGCGTCTCCTCCAATTATATCAGCAAGTTCTCTGGCACGGTCTTTATATGAATAAATAAATAAATATAATATGTCATTAAATATGATTAACAGACGACAGGAAATAATAGTTAAGATTGTTTCTGTTAGAAAAGCTATATATGCCTATACAGTGAATGAAATATACTTATTAGAGGGACAAGCAACATCATACAATATATCAGTAATTTAATACTGCTTTGTAAGTAAGAAATCATTTCCTCGATTATATACCAGTAACTAATTGATTCTCTCACTCTAACATAGATAGACACACATATGCGATTATCCAAAACTTAAATAAAAAAATTGCATCCATGAGAGTCATAATGAACCAAACAAACAAATCTACTAACATGAAAGGAATACAAAATATATTAAAAAGGGAATTACTATTTAAGAGAGGACTGTTAACAGGAAAAAGTACAGAAGTTCACACAAGGGTAAACAAAAGATGAACAGCAAAACAGGTTAGACATTACTATTAACAGAATGCAAGTTATTTTGTTCAGCTCATGATCTAGATATCAGAAGAAATAAAACCCAAAGCAAATAATTGAGATGCTTCAAACCACTGTAAATGTGCCCAAAATGTAACTTTTACTAAAATGACTTTTCTCTTCTGGACCAGAAATGTCTCATGAAGACATTTCTCATCCTTAAGACCAATATTAAGAATTGATCACATTGTCGGCTATCTCCTACATATGGTGTTTTGTCAACAAAGGCCAGGAAGAAACTATCACAATTCAATATGATTCAACTTTAAGCAGGAAAAAATAAACCATGAAGCTCACCATAGGTGCGGTTAGCAATCACAACCCTTGCTCCTTTCTCTTTTGCACCATAAGCAAGTGCCTTCCCAGCTCCACCAGCCCCAATAACAACAAACAGCTTACCAGCTAATGGCGAAACAGCTGTGCTATTACCATTTTGTTTACCTGTCAAGAAATGATTGAAGTATACACCATCTTCAGAATAACAGTTACTGACAACAAGACAGCAGAATTGCATAGGCACCAAACATGACAACTACCTCGTAACCCATCCTCAATTGCAGAAATAGCACCAACATAATCCGTATTATACCCAATCAACTTCCCATCAGTTGGTCTTCTTATAACACAATTCACAGCTCCTATTGACTGTGCTCATAACCAATTTGAAGAATTTAGAAAAAATGAATCAAAACATTTCTAATTATCGATCCAAGATTGTCAAACACACATTGTAGTGCAAAGTGAATCCATTACCTTAGCCACTGGATCAACCCCATCACAGCATTTAAGTGCTGTCTCCTTGTGAGGAATGGTAACACTGAAATACAAATACTAAAGATCAAACTCAAGTAGTTTCCTGAGAGTTTTAACTATCCTACTCAGAAAAAAAAAAATTGACTGAAATAGAATGATGAAAAAAGAAAAGGGTTTAAATGCATAATTATGAGAATGAATTCAACAATAGAAGTATAGAACTATAGAAGATATTAATAGAAGGGAAGAAAACTAAGAAACACATATATAAGGTAACTTAAGCATTTAAGCAAAGGTTGACGTGTTACATAATATAAAGAAACAGCTTCACAACTGCTCAACTCTTCTTACTTGCATACGCCTAGGGCATAGACACCTAGATTTGAAAGGACTAAAATTATGTGTATATGCCTCAACTAAATAGATAGCACTAATTATATACATACATATATATATATATATATGTAAGTGTGTAAAACAGAATGGCATACCAAACGCAGTACAATGACTACAGTCATTGGCCAGCTGATTAGAAATGTTAAAGAAATATCCATCAACTCAAACAGTTATGTAAATAACACGGAACAGGCGTCACAAATTCCAACTTCAAATCAAATTAATCATTAAATGATTTTATGACAAGGCATAAAAGATTTTACATACTTATTAGATTTGTCAAATAAATGCTTGAGCTGTTAAAATACTTTAACAACCCTTTCTATGTCAGAAATGGTACAAAATGGAATAGTAAACTTATTTTAAATATCCTCAACAGTCAACACTTGGTATAACAACATATCAATAATCCAAGCCACAAAAGACCAAACAGTAGACTTATAGCTTATTTTGCATACATAGATCTTTAGAAAATTGAGGAAAGATTTCTATCCTACAAAAAAGACACTAGAACATGTTACCATAAAGTGACCATAGCAGCCACAGAAAAAGCATCTAAAATTAGATTATAAAAATTCAAAAATCTTCAAAAGGAGTTGGAACCTGAATCCCACAAAATCTGTTGAAGAATAAGCCCTGAGAAAATTGGCAGGGTCATCCACCAATAAAAATAAATAAACACCATCAATACCAACTGACTTGAATGCTTCATTGAACAATTTGGGTGATTTACTGTGACCGACAGGCTTTCCAATAAGCCCATATACTTTAGTATCAGGCCCCAGTTGTCTCAAATTGTATAGATACAATAGATCCTTAAGCGTAGGTTGACCAGGAGCTGAAATTACTCCTGACTCAAGGGTACCAAAAGTGAGATATCCACCAAATTTTGCACAAAGTATACGAGAAATCAATCCCCTATCACCCATAACAAGTCCAATAAAAGGAACCTGGAAATAAAAACAATAGTTATGCTAAAATTATTCATTCTCATACAGAAAGCCTCAATATAGTAATAATAAATTTCAGTGTTACCAATCAAAACATAACTAGAACCAGAGGGTTATTTCTTGAAGGGTCATGTGACTTGAAATTAACAACATTACGTTTTAAGCATTAACATATGAGATATTCAAATAGTCCAAATGTATTGGAAATAATTGGATAGTTGTATGCAAAGGCAGGGTGTTGCACAAATTCTTTCTACTACCATCATTACATGGTTTTAAATTGTTGAGAAAAACATTTCACTAAATTTACATTGGTTGCCATTGCATTGGCCCCTATTTCTTCAAAGTTCAGATATGCACCTTGACAACAATTTTGACCTGTCTTCCTCAATTGATCTTCCTATCAATTTCGTCTTCACCATACACTAATTAAATTTGCTAATGTATAAGGTCAATAGTTTATAAAAATAAAAAGACAAAGTGTATATGGAGTTAAAATTTTGTTCAAAGTTTCAATTACCGAACATACACGCCTTACTTGAGAATGCACCATTATCTGAAACATGCGTGCTACATCAGTGATGTCCAAGGCAGTTGTTGCAATCTTCACAATGTCTGCCCCCGTTGCTTGTATTCTTGCTACAAGGTTGCCAAGATCCTCAACTGAAGGAGTAAGCTGATAGTTGTGAGATGAAACAATGACCTTGGTTTTGAATGACTTCCCACGTATAGAGTCAAATAACTGATGCGCTACCTTTGGAGATATGGCAGAAATATAAATGTTTCATTTTCATAGTTCAGACATCATATAGCAAATAATATGAAGACAGTATCTGGCTTTAATCAAATGAGGGGAAATGTTTAAATAGCCAAGAAAAACAAATTATTTTCCCTCAGATTCACTATCTGATATTTATATATACTACTTTGATTATCAATATCAATATATTAGAAAAAAGTTACAGCAATTCAACCTGCAGTTGAGTTTACTCAATGCTGTATGCTACTAGGATGAGATATATCCTAGTGCTTCCATGAGAATCACAGATTTAAATTCAACCATAAAAATAAAACAATAGAGAAAACAATCAAAAGGTACCGTTGGGATACATATATTCTCTCCCGCGTCATCAAGATGAATGAGTGATTCACAATGCATGAAAGTGAAACTAGTAAATTAAGAGTGTATCACTTGAGAAATAGAATATAATAATAATATACTAAACAAACCACGCCATTGCAAGCACATTGTGGTGGGATCCATGTGGATTTAATTCTACTTTCTTAAGGGTGAATTTGTATGAAATTTTCCACAAAAAAATGCATGGATAAGACTACCCGTTACACTATTGTCTAAATAGTTAGTTAGTAAAGAGTAATTGTTTAAATAATATATTTTTACATAAAAATTTAACTATGTAAAATACATTTTTAAAAATACTAATTTCTCTTTATTTTTCACATAATTTCACTCTACCAAACAATCACAAATTTCACATTATTTCCTATCATCAAAACAAATATTTCATATTCTCCTCCATTTCCCACAACTATTCCCCCTCTCCCAAACACATCATAAATGTTATCTGAGAATTACAATTTTTTACTACATTAAATAAACAAATAAAGATAATATGATATTTTTATTGCATTAAAATTTTAATTTTACTTCAAGAAAGTTAATTTTTTACCTCTCCTATGAGAATCATTTTGTAATAAGCCTATACAAAAATCATTATCAAAAAATAATATTTTTTAAAAATAATATTTTTTAAATAACAAATCAAACACGAAAAAAATAACATTTTTTATATAAATTCTCAAAAAGGTAAAAAAAAAAATTGAGTATCAAACACTTATTTAAGTTAAATAAGAACTTTAATAAATTACTTTTAAAAATCACCATTAGAGATGAATTTTTTGGTTATTTTGTAGATACCAATAAAAGTTAATAAATAGAGAAAAGAGAATGTTATTATAAATGTTGGCTCAAGGTTAACCTTTGCATTATGAATTTATTCTTACTAGTAATGTAAAGGGGGAAAATCAGCTACAATAAGTACGTTTTCTTTTTTTATTTGATTAAATAGGTGAATAGAACATATTTTTTCATTTTATTTTATTTCCTGCCAAAAAAGAACATAATTTAATTTATTTACTTTTAAGACGTGTTCATTTTAAAATTTCTTCTTCACCAATAAACCTATCAAAATCACTCACTTAAATTAACGGTTAAAAATCTTGAATTGATTTTTTCAATTGTGAATTATCTCGTATTTAATTAATTAGTATCTTAGTATTTAATTAAAATTTTGATTACTTTTTTAACATGTTTTCATCTGAAATAGGAGAAATGTTACATATTACTAGTAATTGACAAGATATTTTTGTAAGAGGAATGCTTTCTTGATCGGTAGTAATACGTTTTTTAATATATTCATTTTTGTTTAAAGAATTGGAAACATTCATTTTTTTTTTTTTTAAGTTGTACGTGCCTTATACACTACTAATAACATTAAATACTTTTGTTTAACTGCATAATGTTAGAATCTGCTAACAAGGAATACCATTACAGTAAGTATTCCCGTCCTACCAATTTTAAACATAAAAATAAAAATAAAAATGTATATAAGGTTTAATGAGATAATAATGATATTCAACGCGCAAATAAACGTATTATTTAATTGCAGGTAGGGATTTATGTCTCTTAATTTTTTTAGAAAAATTAAAATTAAATAAATAAATAATGAAGTGTACAAAGAAGATTTTGATTTGTTAAAGTTTTTAAACGATAAATAAAAAAGAGAAAAAACAATGAAGTGAATAATTATTAAAAAAGTGGCAAAAAGTTATTAATCGTGTAAAAAAATAATATATTTTTTTTATTTTTTAAAATAATTAAAGAGTGCTGATCCAATCGTCCAATTAAAGTGTAGATAGAAAATAATTATAAAAAAAAATCTCTTTTATAATAAATATAAATAATTTATTTATTTAATTTTTTACCTAAGGGCTTTCCAATTTTATCACTTTGATAAATATAAGAGATGTGAGACAATATGAAATAAATTGTTATTGTTAAATTAATGTTTTGTTTTGCGGTAGCTATAATTAATTAATACTATCAAATTCTACTTTTATCATCTATACTAATATACAAAGTAAATATCACTTTAATAATTAATTTTTAGTTTCTATTTTTATATAAATTATTTTATTTTTTATTTATTTTTTATAATTTTTTAAGACTATCTTTTCTTATAAATAATTTTTCATTTTTTTATTTTATTTTATTTTATTTTGAAATTACTATAATTATTTATAAAAATAATTATTATTTTTTAATATAATACAGGTACAGAGTGCTTTTTTCCTGCTAGTCTTAATTATATGGATGATTGTATACTAAATCTTGGTAGTAGAGATATGGGGCTAATTTTTTTTTAAATTTCCATATTTTTTCTCCAACTTACAAGAAAAAAAATTATATAAAAAAGTAAAAGATTAAGTTTGCTTATTTTTATCTTTTTTTCAGTGTTAACAAAAATTGATACATACATTAGTTAATGTATTATTTAATAAAGTTGACACTTATTGTTATTACGTTCACGTGTAAAAGACATTTTGAGTTTTCGTGAAATATTTTTAAAAAATAATAAATAATAAAAGTTATATAATAGTAGATGATTATTGCAAATACAAAATGATTATAGAATAAAATTTATATAAAAAAAACATAATTTATAAAAATAAATTAAGATAAAATTGTAAAAAAAAATATAAATATCAAATGAAACAATTTATTCTATCGATAATTAATAATATAAATACAGATAACGAGTGTTCACTCTAATTGTCGGAAAATTGTTAAATTTTATTAGTAGTGATTGTTGTTATACTCATTCATGTTATAATTTAGTAAAGAAAATCATTGATACTTACCAAAGATAAATCAAGTTGCAGATTTTATTGTTAATGCTTTAAGAGGTGATTTCAATTGTATATCGGCTTTTCTAGATGCTTTTAAGCACTCAATAAATTTTTATTAAAAAAAAATATTTTTCTCATTATTTATTTCAAAAATAATGTAGAATTATTAATTATTATGATAAAATATTTTTTAATAAAATATATTTATTAAATATGTTAGGATATAATTTTAATTTTATTTAAATATTTATATAAAAACATTGTGTGTGTGCATGCATTATATTTAAAGAAATTATAAATAACAAATAAATAGGATAAGAAAAAAAAAATCATACATGTGGATAAATTATACAATTAAAAGAGAGAAAGAAGAAAGATAAAATTTTAAAATATAATAAATGATATGATAAAAAAAGTTAAAAAAAAATAACCATATTATTAGTACAATACTTAAATTTGAGATTTTATTTAAAGAAACAACTCAAAATAATAATTTATTTATTATTTAAAAATGATGCTATATAATTTTTGTATGTGTATTTGTTTTTGTTATACCCATGTGTATTTGTTTTTAAACAGAGTGTGTTTGATAAAACTGACATAGAAATTGGTTAAAACTTGTAAAATATAAATTAAAGTTGGAAAAAATTAAATTTACGATCTAACTGATTGTATTAATAGTATTTAGTAAAATCGATCAATAAGTTAACTTATAAATATAAAATAACATAAAATACATATTTAGTTATTCAATGGAAAAATGATTTCAAAATGATTTAATAAAACTAAAAAAATTAAAAAATTAATAACTGTAAGATAACTTATGTTCATACTTATTTAAAACTCTACTTGAAGTAACTCAAAATTAATCTAAAAACTAGTAAAATAAACTCTTAAATTAAATAAGTTTTTTCTACTCCGATTAACCTATAAGTTCTTCCATTTTCTTTTGAAGAGCACGTACGACATGAAAGTTTATATCATTAAATAAATAAATTAAATAATGGGAAACATATTTAATGCATTTATTAGAGAGAAAACACATTGCATGTTTATTAAGCTATTAAGCACACATTGTTGAAGTGGACTGTAAAGTCAGTTTAGATATACTTTTTAAAAATCAAAATGGATATTATGAAATTTACATTGTCTTATCTAAATGTAGAGATTATTTCAATGGTATTCCAAATTTTATGGTGAATTTTATTAAGAAGTAAGCAAATTATGTTGCTCATAGAATAACTTAAATAGTGGTGATCCTGAATATGAGTCAGAATTTCATTATTGAAGGAACATTAAAATAAATGTTATTTAGTTTAGTAATATAAAAATATAAATTTAAACAATTAAATTATATAAAAATGTATTTAAGAAGATAAATTAATTGCAATAAGTTAATTAATAATTATTTTTTTAATTAGTCAACAAATATCTACCCTTAATTTTAAGAAAATGAATTACTAATATTAAATACAAAGAAGAAAGTGTGATATATTATTTTTTTTTTCTATATATTGATGTGATGTTTCACAAATGTTAATGTAAAATTATAAAAAAAATTGCCTTTTAACTTTTTTTTTGTTCTCCCTTTTTCTCCAATTTCATTATTTCTCTTTCGATTTTTAAAATTTTGACTAATCTTATTCCACTAAATTTGTAAAATTAAATTGTAAATTTACACTTTTTTTTATTATGAATTTATTTATAATGTGTTATCATTATTAATATCTATCCTTATCGAACTCAAAACTCAAACTTGAAAGTTAAATATCAATTGTAATACCAATTAATTAATTAAATATTAATAATTTTTAAACACTTTTATTAAATAATTTATTGAGACACAAGACTTTTAAATTTGAAGACTAAATATAATACCAATTAATATATTAAATATTAATAAATTTTAAACATTCTTATTAAATAAAATATAGAAACACAAAATTTCTAATCTCACTAGTATATATAAAAAGAATATACTTATTTAGTATCCATTTTTTAAAAAATATCTATACCCCTATTTTATATTTAAAGAAAAAATACCTGTCTCTAAAATAAATCACTCACTTTTTCAAAAGTAACCACCTATTATTTTTACGTACCTATTTTTATTTTATGGAAGCACGTGAATTTTTTATTATTTTAAAATTTCTTAAAAAGTTTACAAAAATGTATCTTGTTTGGGTTTATTTACCAAAATAAATCTATTTACTGTGCTGATTCAGAATTCAGTCTCTAAGAAGCCGAATTCTAACCTGTAATAGTGAGTTTTCGGTGTGATGATGACTGTCAAAATTCGATTCTTAGGAAGTTGAATTTTGGAAAATCTTATTTATTTATTTATTTATTTTTGAATTTTACATTTTTAAAAATATAAAAAATACAAATGATTACTCAAAATTTGGATTTTCGAGAATCAAATTTCGGCAGCTATGTGACCATGTCACGCTGGAAAATCATTATTTTAAGTTAGAATTTAGCTCTCTAGGAATCAAATTCTGAACCTAAATTAATACAGGTGATCCATTTTTGTAATTTTTTTAAAAAATTTTTTAAGAACAGTAAAAAATTTGGAAGCACGTAATACCTTTTTTTTTATTACTAATATATGTATAAGATTATTTATTTATCTATATCTATATGCTAATAATAAAATAAATATTTATATTAGACATATAAAATTTAGTATTTCAACTAATTCTAAAAATCATTATTGAATTATACAGTAGTATTTAAGTACATACATATTGCACGGAGCCACGGAGAAGGTGGTAAATAAATGAGAGAAAAGGAGAAGCACGTTGACGTTGTTGTGGAATTTCCCGGTTGAGGTTAAACCGTTAAAAACTAATGAGCGACGCAACGGCTCTTAACCTTGTCCCAACCCAGTAGCGCCAACTACAGTTCCCTTATCGTAATGCGATCCAGCTCAGCACCTCACTTTTGATCCTCACCATCCATTCATCTCCCGTGCCACCAAATTCAGTGGCCAAACTACTCGCTTCCATCGCAATTTCAGTTCCCATCCGCACCCGAATAATACCCCTCTAACTACCGAAAATACCCCTCTAACGTTCGCATTAACCATCCTCTTAAATGAAACAGCCAAAGGTCATTATCGTCGCAGCATAAGAGCCATTGGAAGGATCCTTTTCTTAAACCGGATTTTTTGTTTCATACTTATTTTCATTTATTACTATTTATTTATTTATATATTTTCTTTCTCTCCCTCTCCCTCCTCTTGTCCCACTGCAACAGTGTTACTCTCCGACGAAGGCTTCCTTCCGCCATGGCGAATCTCGCTTTTTGAGCTTCCGAGTCGAGTAGCTCACTGAGTCCAACCATCGAGTCGAGATCTTCCAACATGTTGGACGGGATACTTGGCAAAGGCTTCACCGCGAAATGGTTAGCGCTGTGTGCTTTTTATTTATTTTTACCTTCGTTGTTGTTGAGTGAGGAAGAGAGTGTGCTTATGCTTCTGATTACGGTAATCGACTAATCGTGTTTTCTTCTTCCTTTTTCTGTTTTCAGCAAATCGTTGATCAAGCTGACTAAGAGTCGGATCGATGTGATACGGAGGAAGAGAAGAGCGACAGAGAAGTTTCTGAAGAAAGATATTGCTGATCTATTGCTCAACGGTCTCGATATTAATGCCTATGGAAGGGTAATTCATTTCTCTTATGTTTTTTTACTTATAATTTTGTGTGTTTTTAGTGCAGTTTTCTGGATTCCGTTACGTTAGACTGTTGATGATGCTAATTTTCATCGAGTAGTGGATTGCAATAGACTTTTAAGTTTTAACTGTGTGAATAATTCCTTTTTGTTTGATAAACTTATTTCAATTAAGTTTTTGTCTTGCTGCGATGTGTTTAAACAGGCTGAAGGACTCGTGGTTGAGTTAACATTGTCCTCTTGTTATGGTTTCGTCGAGCAATGCTGTGAGTTTGTGTTGAAGCATCTCCCAGCGATGCAGAAACTGAGGTATTATTAATTTGTTTTGAATTTATGCTTCGATATTGAATTGTTCATATTCATATTCATTTTCATTTGAAGTCACAATGCTATGACTTATGACAAATGTAGACAATCATATCCACCAATTTTTATTTGTGACTAACATAATTGCTCTTGTCAAAAACAAACTTTAGTGTGCATATATGATGCTTGAATACCAGCGGAAATTCGATAATTTTTAAAACAATGGATACACTATAATAATGCTGTATAATATTAATGAGATTGTAAAATCGTTTATAAACAAATACGTATCTCACCGGTGGCATGAGATAAATGAGTTTGATTAAATGCATGTTTGGATCTGAGTTTTAAGATCCACATTTTCCAAGGATTCGCGAGTAAAATACCTGCATAAATAAATATTCTTTGCTTCAATTTGATCCGCGTTCATGGAAGAGAACGCTGAACCAAGCAAGCCCTAAATGAAGATTAAAAAAGGAAAAGTTGCGAGAGACAAAAATAATTCCTCTGTTCAGTACAAAAAACTGTCATTTTTTGGCCTTTGCGTGTGCAGTTTTCCATGTTTGCGTACCGCTTATAGTTTTTCCGAGCAATAAAGTAATTTTTGTAATGATTTTGGTGAGATGACCTGCTCAGAATAAAACGACGTTCAGTTTATGTTGTAGATGGGAGTGGACTGGTGGAGTTATATTTATTTATTTTTCTGTTGACTAATGTGATTGGTTGGGCACCTGTAACTTTCACAAATGTCCCAAAATTGTTATGGTTGGATAGTCGTTGTATACTTTTCCTTAAATTCAGAACTTGAATAACTGACACAACTGCTTCCATTTCTTTTACAGTGCTTGCCCTGAGGATTGTAGGATGGCTGTATCGTCTCTGATGTTTGCTGCTGCACGATTTTCTGATTTACCAGAGTTACGTGACCTTAGACAAATATTTCAGGAAAGATATGGGAATTCCATGGAATGTTATGTCAATCAAGAGGTGACTTTTCATTTATATTAGAGTTAGAAAACATAATTCACAACTTCTTTTTTCTGGTTTCCCGTACTAACTAAATTGTTCATTACCAGTTTGCTGCAAATTTGAATTTCAAGTTTACTACGTTGGAGAATAAGGTCTGCTTGATGCAGGAGATTGCATCAGAGTTTTCAATAAACTGGGACTCCAAGGCTTTCAAACTGAGGATGTCGAGATCCTCTGCATTTGCACAGGTGCTATATTTTGCATTTTCTTTTCATTTTGGACTAGTTTCTTTGTCTAATTGAATACTCATAATTCCTTGTTTCAAATTGTGAGTATCTAAAATTTAATTATTTGTTACAAATGACTTGTACAGGACCACAATGCTTGTATGTCTAACCCTGATAAACCATCACATGGCAAGGATTTTACCCAAAAAGAAGTAAGGACTGATGTTTTGTCAGAGAAAAATCATGATCCTGCCATTGATAGAGGCAGATTTCAGAATGGCAAGGAAGCTGTTGTCCCAAACAAACTTAATCATAATCTTCAGTCTAATTCCACACTCCCTAATGGATTCAAGCCACTAAATAGTCGGGAAATTCCTCGGAAAAGGGATGGTAATGATAATCCTGGAAGGCGAGAGGTTACTGTTGAGAAGAGTGATAGAGGTTATTGGAAAGAGGTTAGTATGCCAAAACCAATTGGGCATCCTTCTCAGAAAACAGTGGAACAATTTGAAGGTGGTTCCAAACTGTTTAATAGTAGGGGGAATGCCTCCCCTCCGAGAGAAAACCAGGGTACTATGCGAAAACCAATTGAACATCCATCTCAGCAGAAAACAGTGGAACAATTTGAAGGTGGTTCCAAACTGTTTAGTGGCAGGGGGAATGCCACCCCTCCGAGAGAAAACCAGGGTAGTATGCCAAAACCGATTGGACATCCATCTCAGCAGAAAACGGTGGAGCAATTTGAAGGTAGTTCCAAGCTGCATAATGGTTGGGGGAATACCACGCTTCTAAGAGAAAACCAGGGTAGTATGCTAAAACAAATTGGACGTTCATCTCAGAAGAAAACAGTGGAACAATTTGAAGGCGGTTCCAAGCCACAAGATAGTTGGGGGAATACTACGCCTCTAAGAGAAAACCAGGACACTGCAACTTCTAGGAAGTCTCCTATTCATGCCGGTTCGCATTTCAAGAGTAATAATGAGCCATTTACTGTCAATCATGTTGGCCTACCTGGTACTGATAAACCCGAGAGAAATTTTCAAAGGGGTGATGAAACACCTACACTGAAGCCCTGCTACAGTAGTGCCGTTCCGCCTCCATATGTTAAACAACCTAATTCTAAGCAGCAGAACAGCGCACGTGGAGCCAATAATATATCTTCACTTACTGACAGTGGTGGTGTCTCTACATATTATTCAGCATATGACAAGTCTGATGCTGCTTCTGTGCCAGAGAGGATTCAAATAGGTTTGGATAATTCTGACCAGGATTGGCAGGGCAATAGGCATGATAGACTGAGCAAACAGAGTCGTGAAAAAGAAATCTCTATTCAAGAAGATGCTGAAGAAGTCCCTTCGGGGAAACCAAGATCTATGAGGCGAAGGCACTCAAGATCACGACCACCTGGTTACTATGATGCCTCTAACGAAGAATATCAACTTGAAAGAAAATCAAGGAGCAGAAGCAGGAGACGAGATGAATCAAGACGTGGTCTGCAAGCTAAGTTTGATGATGAGCGGTATCAAAATGCTGAAGAGGAAAGGATAATGGATAAATTACTGATCCATTATAGCAAAAAGCCATCCATCCTTGTGCCTGAAAAATTAAAAAGGAACTCTAGAATTCACCATGAGCATCTAACTGTTAACTCAACCAGAGAATTGCTGCAGAATGGAAGCGGAGATAGATCTGATGGGACTACTCATGCACCACGATCAGTTTCGGTTCCTCGTGTACATCACAGAGAAGCAGAAGTTAAGAAAGTGTTTAACCGTGCTGCTACATTTGTTACAGTTAGATCACACGAAGCTCGGCATGTGCATCCCAAGTTACCTGACTATGATGATCTAGCAGATAGGATTGCAGCCTTAAGAGCAAGATAAAGGATATAAGTATTATTAATAATTGCTCCTCTTTTATCAGCATGATTGCATTCGTTATGGTCATCACGCTTTTATCTCGTACAATGTTCGTGTCTTTTGTTACGGTGGTGCTATTATTGCAAAATGTTGACTACTTCGGAGCTGTACTGAATCATCATAGATGGTCCCGTCCGTGCTTGTAGACTATAGTAATTCTGTCATCATCCTATCGATGCAACTATAGGTCATACGCAACATTAATTCAAGTTTTGTCTTTTATGATTGTAGAAATGTTTGTAGCAAAAAATCATGGTGTTCCTACTTTCTTCGGGTCGAGTAATGGGAAGAAAAGAAGCTGAGGCAGACGGTATTGGTCCAGAGCCTCTTACTCACCCCTTATTTTTTCAGATAATGTTGTTTACACATTTATACATACATTATTTTATATTCCAATAATTTTATTATTTAATTGCTTATTTTTTTCGATTCTGTAACTTCACATGAACATAAAGTGATTTCTCACACTTTAATGCAAGAATGTGGCATGTGGTTAAAGTTGCACAAAAGGTCATTTTTAATGTGACTTCCAATTTTAAGGAACAACTCAGGAAAAGTAAAGCATGCAGTTATATTAATCTGAAGAGCTTAATAAATCGAGGAAGAAGAATGCAGATGTAAAACTTTTGTTAGTTTTACCGTGCGAGCATATGGCAGTAAAAAATTAACCAATTGACTGTTCTGATCTGGAATGTCAAAACACAAAGTCCAAACTAGTTCAGAAGAATAGCCTTTGTGCTCCCTAGGACTATTGCTCTTTTTACGATTCGCATCCGTCTGCATCTAAGCCTCCTGTCTATTGTCTAAGGCAAAGGACTGTTTCCCGCCAAAAAGGACTTGTTCCTACCTCCCCATATATTACCGTGCTTCTACAAAGGAAACGACAGAAAGAGAAAGAGAGAGAGAGAGAGAATTCAGACTCCAAAGAGATGAAGGGTACATCCAAAGTGATTATGGGTGCAACCTTGGTAATGGTGGTGACCCTTGCAGTTGTCCTAGTCCTTATATTTGTGCTGCTAGCTGAGCTCTACTGCTCCCTCTTACACCGCCGTCGCCACCTCCAAAACAGCAACTCTAACAACACTATTCCCGCTACCACCACCACCCAACCCACCACAGCCAGAGCCAATGCTTCTTCACCTTCTCACACAACCTCACACCCCCAACAACAATCTCCTCCATTCCGCAGCATCTATGCCCAAGGAGTCCTCCAAGCTCCCAGAAGCATCCTTCTACCTGCAATTTCTTGCAAAGAAGACAAAGCTGGGCCAAGGAAGCACTATTCTGAGCTTCATCAGGTTGTTCAAATCCAAATACAACCCCGAGAATCAAACTCAATCGCAAGCCCTTCTCCACCACCATCCTTCGTATCCATAGCCCCCTCAAAACCAAATCACCAACACCCACTTCCCATGGGAAAAAATCCCTGTCATAATGACAACAAACTTTGCAGTGGTGGGGAACACCTTATGTACATTTCCAACCCCATATATGAAAACGATGAGAGCCAAGGGAGTGGGGCAAACACCCCATTTGAGACACCAGACACTTCACCTTCGCGTTTGGAAAAAGTTGGTTCTTCTGAGGAGGATGAAGCAACCCCTTGTGTTACTCACTCACCTCCATATACCCCTCCTTTGACTCCAATGAAGAAGCTCCCAGCAGAGGCATGTTCTGTTTCTCTTAGAGGTGCAAGATCCTTGGGCACTTCATGCAGTGATTCTCGCAGCAACAATGGCCTCTCTTCATCCTCCGGTTCCCCGTGTACTTCTCCATCATGGTAATTGCAATGATTCTTCAATGGGGTGGTTAGATTGCACGCGTGAAAGCTTCTGTTTGGTATTTTTTGTTACCAGGTTAGTTCTGTGAATAAAGTAAGAACAAAAGTAGTAGCAGTTATAACTTAGCATGTGGGAAGAAGCTGTGAGTACTTTCTTTTTGCAGGCGTGGTTATCATAACGCGTCTGTTTGTTGTAAGTGGTAACACTCATGGCGATTGGCAACTCAACTTTAGTATTTTTCTTATATCTTGGCTTTCCCGTAGCTAGTTAGATAAGGGGCGCACGGTTGTTCTTATTGGCATTGTACACTCTGCTTGTTTTTATTTATTTATTGAAAATAGGAGCATTTCCGAGTAGGAAGATTTTATATTTTTGCTCGCGTAATTTGTTAATTATCGTAGAAATTAAATGAAAATTTTTCTATATATCTCGATCTTTGATGGTCTGAAGTTATGTTTCCAATGCATAATAATGCACTGAAGAGTGAAGGGTAAACCCACAAACAAGAAGCTGTGCAACTGCAATCTGCAAGCATAGTCTTTAGTGTTTTGTCCATTTGGAAAAGGACGAGCACATAGTTTTGCCGCAACTCCATGTGGCAAGAAGCTTCAGTTTTCGCCGTGATTGTGTTATGTTGTGTTGAGTAGTTTTCTATGGTTCAGATTAAAAAAAATAAAGATATTCGATTTTGTTGGGATTTTGGGTGCATGTGATGTGAAGTGCTGCAACGAATGTTCACAGTAAAAGAATTTATGTGACGAAGAAATACTAATTAGTTGGGTTGAAAGAGAAAACGGAATAAAAGAAAAAGAATGAAAATAAAGACAAAATGAAATAAAAAATAATGATTTTAAAAAAAAAAATCTACCAAAAAAAAAAGACAAAATGCATATAAATAAGTACATGTGTGTTGGGATGCTTGGATTAAAGGAGAAAAATTAGAAGAAATGAAAATTAATGTTCTAGTTTAGTTATACAAAAAATAGAAAATAAACTTAAAAATCATAATAAGTGCAAACTGCATGTTTCAATTAAAATTTGATGTAGTAAAATCAAGTTTAGAGATAAAGAGTATATTTGATACATATTATAAGATACAGCGCAAGAAGGATAAAGATAAATGTTTTTATACAATATTTTTTTTTAGTTTGTGTATTTTTTTTATGGACAATGAATATACAAGTAAAATAATATAAAATTTTCCACAATTTATGTTAATTATTTTAATACCACGATAACGGTAAAATTAATATTAATTTTAGAATGTGATGTGGTAATAATTATCTTAAATCTTGATTACGATGACAATAACAATAATGAGAATGTTGACAATGATAATAATATTGTTGGTATTAGTGGTAATAATGATGATAGAAATAACAATAATAATGATAATGGTGAGAAGTAGCAAAATAAAAAATAAATTTGAATATTTTTATTATTTAATTATTTTATATGTGAAACAAAAAGTTCTCTTATAATTTGTGGGATAACAAGAAATTGAAATTTTGTTCTAACTATTTTCTCTTTATTTACTTCAATGTATCATTTTGCATAGCTAGAAATCACATTTCCTAGAATATTACGAGTATGTGTTTTATCATTTGAAGTCACAGGTTGAGTTTATGTTCGTAAACGTAATCAATCTAAAAGTGCTGTATGAAAGGGAGGCACAATCCTTTTTTCTAAGAATTTCCATACCAAATCATAAACTAAAGTAAAATTTTGCCAACATCAAGCGTTACCAAGTGGGTATAATGTCTTTACACAAACCGGTTGTAAGCAATAAACATAAATAAACAAATAAAAGAAAGAACAACTTTGGGCGTGAGATCTTACAATGTATACCGAACATGTCATTGTTCTTCTTGGAAGAGCAATTACGTAGAGATCAACAATGGACATAGATTATGGATGCATCCACACAACTCACGAAAGGAAGGATACATAGAATGGTGATCCCGCACTGAGCCTTGGGTAGTGAACTATATTTGAGATTTGAGTACAACAGACATGGCTTTAAATGTAACAATACTTTCCAAAAGAAAAGATTTCTGACTTTGCATTAAGAACAGCAAAAGAATCCTCTTCTAGTTTCTCGAGGCCTGGTATGCAGCTTGATTCCAGTTTGACGTAAAGGGTTAGCTTTCGCCAATCTCTTTGCTGCAACAATTTTTGTTTCGAGGAACAAATCATTTTTATAAATTAACTTTTGTATAAACTAAACCAAAAGTCACATTAAGTGCAAAATTTAACAAAATATGACCCCAAGAAGAGACGATGCAAGTGCCTCTTAGCAAAAATACTAAAAAGGGTGAAAGGGATGTCATTTTACCTATTTCATAGAAGAGCTCGTTCACATTCTGTGCGGTTTTTGCTGAAGTTTCAAGAAAAGATAAGCCATGTTCTTTGGCATATTCCTCACCCTCCTGAAACCATCAACACAAAGTGCGTGGTATGAAAGACGGGTATTGTTGGTTTTGAAACAAGAAAAAAAACAAATAAGAGCAGACCCTATGGAAGAATAAACTACTGTAGAAACTAGAATACCTAACAAAATGTATCGTAAATGCAGAAAAAAAAAATGCAATATCAAAACAATAGAGAAGAGACTCTTGCTCTTGTCAAAAATTCCTTGATATCTCTAGTTGATTTTCCTTTCCTTTCTTTTATACGTATTTTCTTCTCAAATCTCCATACTCGCACTTAAAATTTTGCTCTTATGTTTTCTCTCTCTGGGTCGGTCTTAGAAAGGTTTCCCAAAAATATATAAGGATCCAAGACATTGAAACCAAGTCATATAAAACAGAATAGACTGAACTCATCAAATTAATAAAAACAAACTATGTACAATCTGAACTTATGAGATAAATGGAGACAAACTAAATTTATAAAACTATACAAACGAAGACTTTACAAAATATAGAGATAATACATTAAATTTTGAGTCATAATCAACAAGTACCTCATTGAATAAGGTGAATCCTTGAAAGTAATATAATAAGCAAATAGAACAATTCACTTGATATACCTCATTGCTGACTTTTCTGTCCGCCTCCAAATCAGCCTTGTTAGCCACCAAAAACATTGTCAAACTTGCATTTGCTGAAGTGAATTGTCAAATTAGTACCGCATCATGAAGTTGTGGTGAACTTTCTCAGAATGATATATTGAACTCAATTTAGCCTAAGTTTACTACTTCGAAGTATGCAGGAATGTGGTTCAGATATCAGTGGATTGCTCTGGTCCTCAAGTGCAATTCATTTGAATTTACATGATGGTTTTGATTGGAACTAGTAACCACAAAAATCTAAAATCATTGGAAGACTTCATGCCACATGTTTACAAGATTTTAGTATCAAACAAATTATATTAAGCTCAATAGCTTCTAATGTTTGTTGAAAAGATAGGTATTTACCTTGCCTTTGTACTTCTCGAACCCACTTCTTTGCTCTTACAAAAGAATCCTGCGCCAGAGTATGATCAGTCAGATATGTTCACTGTAAATGTATTTAAATATTCTACAATAGATACCTATGTAAAACACAAGTGAATCTTTTAAAGGATAAATATACTAGAATAATCATGAATTAGGGATACACTTGTATTATATTTATAGCACATTTCAACTGCCAAATTGATTAATCATCATCCACTGCGCATGAAGCTTGTGAAGAGAATGAGACTTGATATTTAGTTACCATGCTTGTAATGTCATACACAACTATGGCAGCAGCAGCACCTCGATAGTACATAGGAGCCAAACTGTGGTATCGTTCTTGCCCTGCTGTGTCCCATATATCAAATTTTACAGTGGCTTCATTTAAAGACAATACCTGAGTGAAGAATGCTGCTCCAATTGTTGATTCCTGCACACGTATATTAATGGTTACCTACTACTTATCTATGATGATTTGAGGAGGCATCATACAGAGGACTAAAATACTGACTTAAGGGACAAAAACAATAATAGTAACCTGGTACTCGGAAAATTGACCTTTGACAAATCTTAGAACCAAACTTGTCTTCCCTGCTCCCATGTCTCCAAGAAGTACCTGGGGACAAATAATAGATGTAATTATTTTTTTCTGCTAATAATGCTTGTCCTTTTGATCATAGGAAAATGAGGGAGGGAACAAAATTTTGAAATTTGAACCAAAAGAGGAAATATAGAAATTTTGGTTGCTTATAATTTTCTTTCCTCCCTATTTTTTCTTCTTTTTCACTTCTACTACACAATAGAACTTCTCAAAACATAGGGAAAAAGTAATGGATGGAGAATTGGAGATAGACATATATACATAATCTTTAAGTTTGCATATTGAAGAAGCACACATATTATGCAAAAATTCAACTAGAACTAATCAATCAACAACATTGCAAAATGTGATTAATCTACTCGAATGATTTTATGTGTAATTTGCCCCCTCAGAAGAGAAGGGTGAACAATGCACACATAACCCAACGATTTACTTGATCAGGCAGAGATTCATCAAAATCAGATATGTAACTTAGAATCCAACACATATTTCACATAAGAAATAAGTTGAATTCAAATAACTAATACAAGTTATTTGCATCTCCTGTCCTAATATATGTAACATGTTGTTCTGATTTAGAGCCTAACATGTGAAACAGGATCTATTTCTACTTTTTGAATGAAGCTGATCGTTAATATATCAAATCAAAAAAAGAGAGAGAGACATACCTACCAGTTTTGCTTGTAAACTCTTGTTTCCTGTCCTAGCCATAGCTTAGTTGATCTATGGGAAGAGGAAAATTAAAGGAGAAAATTTCTAGAAGAGGCTTGAAAAGAGAGGCCAAGAGAAAGCAATTATATGTTAGTAATGGAAAATGGAAGAGCTGGAAGGCTGAAAATCAATAATGGTGAATGGTGACACTGCATAAGACTGGTAGTTTGTAGGTTGGACTTGTAGGTAAGATGATATGCATAAAACTTTTTCTTTGAAATTATCAACTTGTGTTTCAATTTTTGCTAAGGTACATGAGTTAGCTTTTCAAATTAATCAAATCTATATCTAGTTAAGCTTTTTATGATTATAAATTTGCAATACTGTATTTAATATTTTTGTCCTTTTTATTTTACGAAGGCTTTTTTTAATAATTCAATGAGATAATAACAAAACAGAAAAAGGATATTGAGAAGACAAAAATAATTTATCCCAAAATTAATGTAATACAACTTTTATAAATTATGAAACTATTTTATGTACGTAATTGAATACAATAATCGAATGGAATTTAAGATTTCTTGTACTAGTTGGCATAGAAAAACAATAAATAAGATATCAAATACAATTTTCTTATATTGAATATTAGATATCTCAAACATGAAATTTACAAAATTAAACATTTGTGAATAATATAATCGTTTAATAACAAAATGATTGGACAAGTCTAACAAATAAATGTGTAAATAAAATATATGTAACTTAAATTTAAGACAAAAAAGTAAATTTTAGAAAATAAAATTATAATATAATAATAAAAGTGATTAAATTTGATATTAAACAAGAAACCTTAATGCGAAAAAAGTAGTTATTTTATTTTTAAAAAATAAAAATTCAGGTATCACAATAATTTTTATAAACACCAGTGAATGTCTCTATGTATTTTGTTTAAAAATAATATAAAATAAAAAGTAAAAATAATAGAGATTGTAAAATGTAAATCAAGTGAGATAATAAATAATTAAAAAAATAAAATAATTTTAAACAAAGAGATCAAAGTGATTATAAAATAAGAGAATTATTGATAGGATGGATAATTAATTGTTTCTATTTTTTTTTTTCTTCTATTTTATCTTTAAGAGATATGGTGGTAATATATATATATATAT